AGGTGGGCACCAGAGATCTATCTGTCAACATGTCTGAGTCTGGTGTCGGGGACAGAGGAAGGTGGGCCCCAGAGATCTATCTGTCAACATGTCTGAGTCTGGTGTCGGGGACAGAGGGAGGTGGGCCCCAGAGATCTATCTGTCTACATGTGTAAGTCTGGTGTGGGGGCCAGAGGAAGGTGGGCACCAGAGATCTTTTTGTCAACATGTTTAAGTCTGTTGTCGGGGACAGAGGAAGGTGGGCCCCAGAGATCTATCTGTCTACATGACTGAGTCTGGTGTCGGGGCCAGAGGAAGGTGGGCCCCAGAGATCTATCTGTCAACATGTCTGAGTCTGGTGTCGGGGACAGAGGAAGGTGGGCTCCAGAGATCTATCTGTCTACATGTGTAAGTCTGGTGTGGGGGCCAGAGGAAGGTGGGCACCAGAGATCTTTTTGTCAACATGTTTAAGTCTGTTGTCGGGGACGGAGGAAGGTGGGCACCAGAGATCTATCTGTCTACATGTGTAACTCTGGTGTCGGGGCCAGAGGAAGGTGGGAACCAGAGATCTATCTGTCTACATGTGTAGGTCTGGTGTCGGGGCCGGAGGAAGGTGGGCACCAGAGATCTATCTGTCAATATGTCTGAGGCTGGGGTCAGGGCCAGAGGAAGGTGGGCACCAGAGATCTTTTTGTCAACATGTTTAAGTCTGTTGTCGGGGGCAGAGGAAGGTGGGCACCAGAGATCTATCTGTCTACATGTGTAGGTCTGGTGTCGGGGCCGGAGGAAGGTGGGCACCAGAGATCTATCTGTCAACATGTGTAGGTCTGGTGTCGGGGCCAGAGGAAGGTGGGCACCAGAAATCTATCTGTCAACATGTCTGAGTCTGGTGTCGGGGACAGAGGAAGGTGGGCCCCAGAGATCTATCTGTCTACATGACTGAGTCTGGTGTCGGGGCCAGAGGAAGGTGGGCCCCAGAGATCTATCTGTCTACATGACTGAGTCTGGTGTCGGGGCCAGAGGAAGGTGGGCACCAGAGATCTTTTTGTCAACATGTTTAAGTCTGTTGTCGGGGACAGAGGAAGGTGGGCCCCAGAGATCTATCTGTCAACATGTCTGAGTCTGGTGTCGGGGACAGAGGAAGGTGGGCACCAGAGATCTTTCTGTCTACATGTGTAAGTCTGGTGTCGGGGCCAGAGGAAGGTGGGAACCAGAAATCTATCTGTCAACATGTCTGAGTCTGGTGTCGGGGCCAGAGGAAGGTGGGTGGTGTTGGGGCCAGAGGAAGGTGGGCACCAGAGATCTATCTGTCAACATGTCAAAATCTGGTGTCGGGGCCAGAGGAAGGTGGGCACCAGAGATCTATCTGTCTACATGTGTAAGTCTGTTTTCAGGGCCAGATGAAGGTGGGCACCAGAGATCTATCTGTCAACATGTGTAAGTCTGGTGTCGGGGCCAGAGGAAGGTGGACACCAGAGATCTATCTGTCAGCATGTCTAAGTCTGGTGTCGGGGCTAGAGGAAGGGGGGCACCAGAGATCTATCTGTCAACATGTCTAAGTCTGGTGTCGGGGTCAGATGAAGGTGGGCACCAGAGATCTATATGTCAACATGTCTAAGTCTGGTGTCGGGGCCAGAGGAAGGTGGGCACCAGAGATCTATCTGTCAACATGTCTAAGTCTGGTGTCGGGTACAGAGGAAGGTGGGCACCAGAGATCTATCTGTCAGCATGTCTCAGTCTGGTGTCGGGGCTAGAGGAAGGTGGGCACCAGAGATCTCTACATGTCTGAGTCTGGTGTCGGGGCCAGAGGAAGGTGGGCACTAGAGATCTATCTGTCAACATGTGTAAGTCTGGTGTCGGGGCCAGAGGAAGGCGGGCACCAGAGATCTATCTGTCTACATGTGTAAGTCTGGGGTCGGGGCCAGAGGAAGGTGGGCACCAGAGATTTATCAGTCAACATGTGTAAGTCTGGTGTCGGGGCCAGAGGAAGGTGGACACCAGAGATATATCTGTCTACATGTGTAAGTCTGGTGTCGGGGCCAGAGGAAGGTGGGCACCAGAGATCTATCAGTCAACATGTCTGAGTCTAAGTTAATATTACTGCTTATTTATTAGTGTATGAATCGGGGTTCTATCGCCATTGTTATATCAACTTTCAACTAGATTTTTTTTAAATGGTTCGAAAAATTAAGCACGGAAAGGGAGCAGTAATATTAAAAGGATATAAGATACAATTATCTTTTAAAAAGATTGCAACACGATGTCAATATCCCCCACTGCTAAATAATGATAATAATATACAACATTTATATAGCGCCCTATATAATTTGTAAAGTTACTCTAAGGCACTTAACAACATATGGATAATAGTAATGGTTATAATTGTTAAAACAAACAACAAAGGCTTGCAATCACTTTCATACATTTAACAAGCAATGTGCACATAATTGAACAAATAAAAGGGTGGTATTTACATGACGTCTTTGCAAAGATTCTAAAATGCAGACGTGAAGAGGTGAGTTTTTATGTCCCTCTTGAACTTGGCCAGGGTATTTGACTTCCTAATAGCAGATGGTAAGCTATTCCACAACGTAGCCGAAACCCTCCCAAAGCATCTGTTTCCGTAGGTCCCAGTACGAGATTTTGGGACACACAACAAAGATTCTGACTCCGACCGCAGTGGTTTTGACGGCTGATACAGGGTAACAAGCTCCTGTAGGTACTGAGGAGCTGTTCCATTCAGTGCCTTGTATGTGTATACCAGAATTTTGTACTGCGACCTGTATCTTACAGGTAACCAGTGCAACGAATAAAGCGCAGGTGTGATGTGCTCTCTCTTTCGAGTACGAGTAAACTAGGTATTCAATACATAGAGACGCTCTCTCTTCCCAGGAGTACCAGTATACCATGTGATCTATGCTCTGAAAGCCTCGGCCGGACGGACGGACTGGCAGAGGGCATTACCTTATGTATATGCAGCATTGAGGGCATTACCTTATATATGCAGCATTAAGTTCAAATAATGTATATATTGTAATTGTTCAATGAATATAGAACCGGCCATATGTCCAGGGAGGGTCAGAGGTATTCAACGTAACAATTATGACGTCAACAGTCGGGGATATTAATTACTTACTCACTGCAAGTGTGACCCAGTCTTAATTGTTATTGGGCCGTTTCTTTTTCCATTATGTAATGATTAGCTATTGAAACACAAAGGAAAAAATGTAATTAAAGTAAATGTAAAGAGGTAGGAAGATTAAAATACGGCTATTGTTTCCAATCGTAGTTAATAACATATATTTTGATATTTTTAAATTAAAAGTGTAATTAGCTTCCATTTGAAGAAAAAATATTACTGTGTACTTATCAAAAAGATACACTTCATTTAACCAGGAACAACTAAGCAAAGTCCATGCATACTTTGTAAATCGGTCATGCGTATTTCAGTCATTTATTTGTTATGAGCTAAATGGAACTTTGAAGTAACTATTCAAGAAGAACGATAGAACCATCCCAAGTAATTACAGACCAGTATCTCTAACCAGTATCTCTAACCAGTATTACTTGCAAACTTTTAGAACATGTCATTTGCTCGAACCTAATGCAGCACTTTGAAGATCATAACATCTTAAATAGCCGACAACATGCATTTAGAAGACGACACAGCTGTGAAACCCAACTCATTAACGTGATTCACGACTGGGCAACTGCCATTGACAACAGGAAACAAACTGATATATTTATTTTGGACTTTGAAAAAGCATTTGACACTGTACCACACGAGCTTTTAAAAAGGTAAACTTCACAAATATGGTGTGCCGAAAAATATCTTGAATTGGATTAACGTCTTCCTATCTAAAATATCTCAATGCGTTGTAGTGAATGGAATTAAATCTGAAACATCAACAGTACTATCAGGAGTACCTCAAGGGACAGTTCTTGGTCCCATCCTATTTCTAGTCCATATCAACGATATAGCAGATAATGTAACACCTGAAATTAGGCTGTTCGCAGACGACTGTGTATGCTACAGAGAAATAAAAAACGAAGATGACTGTGCAGAACTACAGAAAGATATTGACACTCTTGGTAACTGGGCTAATAATTGGGGGATGAGATTTCAACCAATTAAATGCAACATGATGGCATTGAGCCGCAGGAAGAAGACAACATCATTCGAATATACATTAAAAGATACCAAACTCCAATTCTTAACATCTATCAAATACCTAGGAGTCAACATCACCAATAACCTACACTGGGGAAAACACATAGATGTGATATGCAACAAATCTTACAGGACATTAGGATTATTGAAAAGAAATCTTCAATCATGTCCACTCGAAGTTAAACTCCAGGCATATAAAGGACTCATACGACCTGTCCTCGAACATGCGAGCACTGCCTGGGACCCACACCAAATATATCTTCAAGATCAGCTGGAAAATGTACAAAAAAGAGCGGCAAGGTTCATAACATCAAACTACAACTACGACCCAGGTAGTATGACAGCAATTTTAGACCAGCTGCAACTACCATCCCTAAAAGATCGCCGAACTCAAAACAGACTTATCCTCTTCTGCAAAGGCATACACGGTCAAGCCAACTTACCATCTGAACAATTGAAAGAACCATCTAGGACGACCAAGAACATGCATAGCCAACATTACCTGAGATTGCAAACAAAGTCAGACACATTAAAATTCAGCTTCATACCAAACACAATTAAAGATTGGAACCTACTACCACCGGATATTTTCACCAAAATCAAAACAGCTAAAGAACCGGCTAAAACTTTCAGTAATATAGTAAGGGGGGTCCCACTTAAGTAAAGTACTTGACGCACGCGCGGTGTAATAATATCCTTGGATGTGTCACCGTATACCTATCGAGTCAAGACAATGCAAAAGTAACCTTTGCAACGACCCCTCTAAATTGCCGGAGACGACCGAGTCATTTTTATCCAATCAAAATGACATATTTTGGTCGGGATCTGTATTTCCCCGTAATCTATTTTTAGAAGTTGACGTCCTCTTGGAATTTTTCAGGTAGGCTAACAGAACACTCCACTACAGTAATTTTAGCTAAACTTTGGGAAGCCCACGATCGGTTAAAACCATTTGCCCCAGCACAGGGATATCAGACCCGGTTACGCCATGGATTTCGGTAAGTTATTTCGAAGACGTCGTTATGAAATTGGAAAAGCACGAGCAGTAAACGGAACAAACTTCGCGTTAGTTATTTTGGTTGGACATGTCGGCAATGTTGTCGGTCGCCATGTTGTCAAAATTCGCTCCTTGATTTATGACATAATTTATAACGCATATTTATGAACTTATTTTAATGTTTTTGAGTGACTACATTATTGTTTTAGTGAAATGTGTGATTTGTACTAGTTAGTAATTGGGAATTTCTAGCTCGTGCTATCGGCAAGTGCACGTCATTATGGTGGAAAAACCAAGGGGAAGTCAACTCAAATGACGTAGTATAAGGCGGGTTTACCGGGGCAATACTCTTTACACTGGAAAAAGACATCTACTATTTATGATCAAGTATGAAACTAATACCGGAAGAAATCGACACGATCGATGGCAAATACTTGTAAACACGCGCACAGACATACACACTTCCATTTTTCTGATTTGTGATATTAGGAAGTACAAGGCCGAAACACCACCAATACATATCTCGTCAGTGAAGCAGGAAGCCGTCACACAGTACACACAGATTTACACATAAACCTGCTACTGAGATGTAAATACAGGTAATCACGTGGAACAGGTCAGCAATAAGATTTCACTAATTATGTGATTACTGTAATTTATATTACTTAGGATATTACTGATGGGATCACAAAAACTGTAAGTGACATCCTATCCAGTATGATCATTGTGTTAAAGTGGGTACTAATTATATAAGAACGGGGAAGCATTTCTTTCCAATAAAAATTCAGTTATGAGAAGTAAACATGGTGAAACAGGAGATGGCAAAATGCACGGCCAGACCGGGGTTCAAACACGGGACATACCTCTGAGCTCCAGACGGATGCTCTACCAATAGAGATACGTTGACGAATGACCCAGTCTAACCTCACATGGGATATTACTTTACGAGTACCACTTCTGGAGACAATATTTAGGCAGCCTGCAAAATTATGGGTAGACCGATGGTCTGAGGCTTCCGGAAATTACTTTGATGTATGTGTGTTTGAGAGTGTCTGACTGCCTGCGGGGACAAAGTTAGAAATTTTATTGAAGTTAAGTTTGAATTGAATGTGCACAAGTTTTGCAGAAATAACAGCCCTGCAAATGATGTAGAAATCATAAAATATCAAACTTCTGCCAAAAACTATTACTGGAGTGTGACATGTACTATTTTTCAACCCCAATGTGAACCCTTCCCAGCTCCAATACATACCTGTGACCTTACATCGTGGAAATTAATATATATACATGTAAAAATTGATACACATGATCACAACTTCTGAGACCAGTCAGTGATATTGTAAACTTTATTTAGGTGGACAGTACTAGTCCTATGTATAGACCTTTTCCAAAAAATAGTGATTACAAAAAAATATTAATCTATAATTTAAATCAGTACTTTAAAGAAGAATATAGTAGACAGCATTAGATAACAACGTACCACATTATACACCATACTGATCTCTGTATCAATCAGTCCTACAGGGCCCGTATGTTTAGTGGTGAATCGAACAATAGTTAAGTCAAGGAATAGCGTCTTATGTGTATCAACCTGATTCATAACCCATAACACAGAACAAATGGAAATTGTTGGTTCTGTTAGGATGATGTAATCAGTTGTCCCCCTTGTTTACAGGTCAAGGCTATACAGACGAAATTCAGATCACAAGCAGTGAACTGCAGCAGCTGATTAATGAAGGCAAGCTCAACATGGATAATATCACAGACCCTTCTATACTGAATCACTTGATTACCGAGCAGCCCATGAACAGTATGTATAAATATTAACATCATTCAATACTACATCAGTTAACAGACGGTTAAGAAGTCAATTTGGGAATTATGAGACTGATCGTTTTTAGGAACAGAGAGTTCGATTCTCCTTAGAGGGCATGTCTCGGATAAACATGGATAGCGGATTCATCCTGCACAACACACCTACATATATATATATATCTATAAACTACATTTTGAATACGTTTTTTCTTGAAGAATGATTTTTTTTCTAAAAGTGATTTCCCCAGATATGGGACTTGTGAAAACCATGGTTACGACATCAAACTACACCAAAAAATGCAAAAAAAACATAATTTTTAACCCAAAATTTCACCCATGCAAGTAGTATTTTTTTTCTTAAAACCTGTCTTAAATTAAATACTGTCTACTCTGTAACAGAAATACTCACGTTTTAGCATAGGTCATACCGGTGGATTTATTCACAATATTAACACATGTGCTGAGTACAAAATAGACTACATGAAAAGCTAGCTTTTGTTGTGTAGACACAGATTTGTAAATGGCCAAAAATGTTGTCTCAAACCAAGTTTGAATTATTTATTTTTTTCAATGTGAAGCCCAAATAGTCCACTTCATCATGTATATGCCAATTTTAGTGCTGATTTGTTTTGATACATGTAATATTACAGGGGTTATTCATTGTACAAAAATATATATATCACCCATGGCCACCGTACACTACCTGTACACTGCTAATTAAGCCCAAGCTAATACAGATGTCATAAGCTCAAGTTTGGTAGTCGTATGATTTCAGTGACTATTCCAGACGATGACCCTACCTTACAAGTTTGGTAGTCATATGTTTCAGTGACTATTCCAGGCGATGACCCTACCTTACAAGTTTGGTAGTCATATGATTTCAGTGACTATTCCAGGCGATGACCCTACCTTACAAGTTTGGTAGTCATATGTTTCAGTGACTATTCCAGGCGATGACCCTACCTTACAAGTTTGGTAGTCATATGATTTCAGTGACTATTCCAGGCGATGACCCTACCTTACAAGTTTGGTAGTCATATGTTTGTGTGACTATTCCAGGCGATGACCCTACCTTACAAGTTTGGTAGTCATATGTTTCATTGACTTTTCCAGACGATGACCCTACCTTACAAGTTTGGTAGTCGTATGATTTCAGTGACTATTCCAGGCGATGACCCTCCCTTACAAGTTTGGTAGTCATATGATTTCAGTGACTATTCCAGGCGATGACTCTACCTTACAAGTTTGGTAGTCATATGTTTCATTGACTTTTCCAGACGATGACCCTACCTTACAAGTTTGGTAGTCATATGTTTCAGTGACTATTCCAGGCGATGACCCTACCTTACAAGTTTGGTAGGCATATGATTTCAGTGACTATTCCAGGCGATGACCCTACCTTACAAGTTTGAATTTAGAAGACTTAAAGTGTTTGAAAATTTTGAAGAATTTTCGTCATATTTATGTTATGTTATGAGAACCATTTTTAATCTGCCAGTCACACCAACAATGCCTGCAGTCCCAACCAATCCAGGCTTTGGAGGTCAAACTCAAGTCAAACCAGGAGGCTCACGACCTGTCATTCGGCAGGGCAGTAGAGGAGGCACAAAGCAGGCAACGACTGATGGTGTGTATGTTGAAATTGTTGAACAGCCGAAACAAAGAGGGTTACGATTCCGTTACGAATGCGAGGGACGATCAGCAGGCAGCATTCCAGGGGACAAAAGCACTACAGAGAGGAAGACCTTCCCAACAATCAAAGTAAGATCACAATCAATTACTGTACTAGCTGTGTGTATAGTGATCCAAGAACTCTTCATTGTAGAAGTGTTATGTACCGGTATTACTAAATTCAGTAAGCTGATAGTAATGGATTTGTGTAACCTCAGGAGTTGTTTACTTGTTATATAGAATATTGTTCTCAAAATGTTGAAAGATGTAATTCTCTAGAAACATTTCCCATAGTGTCACAACTATTAAGGACTTAAGTAATGATAACTGTTTCCTCCCACTACTACAGATTGTAAACTACAGCGGAACAGCTGTTGTAGTGGTCTCCTGTGTAACCAAAGATGCACCCTATGAGCCTCACCCTCACAATCTCGTAGGGCGCGACTGTAAACGAGGAGTGTGTACACTCAAGGTCAAGGACACAAACACTGTCAGGTAGGTTTATATATTAGATTATACACTGGCCTGCATAAAAAATACCCAGATGAAGTCAAAGTCAAAGAAAAAAATCAAAGCGTGTGTTATTCACATGTTCTGTCGCTGATTAATAATAATTTACTTTGTGAAAATCACAAAACATTTACTTAAATTTATTTGAAAAAAACATTCACTTTCTTTTCAGTTTTCCACACCTTGGAATCCAGTGTGCCAAGAAGAAGGATGTAGAGAGCAACTTGAAACAGAGAAAAGAGATTAATGTTGATCCCTATCAGAGTAAGTGGATGTTGATCCGTATCAAAGTAAAGGATGTTGATCCCTATCAGAGTAAGTGGATGTTGATCCCTATCAGAGTAAGTGGATGTTGATCCGTATCAGAGTAAGTGGATGTTGATCCGTATCGAAGTAAAGGATGTTGATCCGTATCGAAGTAAGAGGATGTTGTTCCATATCGGAGTAAGTGGATGTTGATCCCTATCAGAGTAAGTGGATGTTGATCCGTATCAAAGTAAAGGATGTTGATCTGTATCGAAGTAAGAGGATGTTGATCCCTATCAGAGTAATAGGATGTTGATCCCTATCAGAGTAAGTGGATGTTGATCCGTATCAAAGTAAAGGATGTTGATCTGTATCGAAGTAAGAGGATGTTGATCCCTATCAGAGTAATAGGATGTTGATCCCTATCAGAGTAAGTGGATGTTGATCCGTATCGAAGTAATAGGATGTTGATCCCTATCAGAGTAAGTGGATGTTGATCCCTATCAGAGTAAGTGGATGTTGATCCGTATCGAAGTAAAGGATGTTGATCCGTATCGAAGTAAGAGGATGTTGATCCGTATTGAAGTAAGAGGATGTTGATCCGTATCGGAGGAAGAGGATGTTGATCCGTATCGAAGTAATAGGATGTTGATCCATATCGGAGTAAGAGGATGTTGATCCATATCGGGGTAAAAGGTTGTTGATCCGTATCGGAGTAAATGGATGTTGATCCGTATCGTAGTAATATGCTGTTGATCCGTATCAGAGTAAGAGGATGTTGATCCGTATCGAAGTAAGAGGATATTGATCCATATCGGAGTAAGAGGATGTTGATCCATATCGGAGTAAGAAGATGATCTAGATCTGTCCAAAATGACATGTTGTCACATGGTGCCTCCAGTTCACAAACAGTGGAAGAAAGATTTGAATAATTTGACATCAAATCATTTTAATATACCAAATACATCTAAATATACCAAATACATCTAAATATACCAAATACATCTAAAACCTATTTCTACCCTGTTGTTCATTGTTGTTTAAGTCCGATGGTTAGGCTGATTGGTGTTGTTTGTTGTAGGTGGATTCAAACACATTCCCAAGGCTGCAAACATGGATCTGAATGTAGTGAGACTGTGTTTCCAGGTTTTCCTGCCAGACGAGTCGGGAAAGATATCTCGAATCGTTCCTCCGGTAGTCTCCCTTCCCATCCACGACAAAAGTAAGTCATCAGATAAACCATTTTAAATGTCGGTGTGCATCAAGTTTCATCGTCACTGAATTATACCTGTCTGTAAGGAAGTGGTAAGATTGGGGGATTGGTTTGATTGTCACTGAATTATACCTGTCTGTAAGGAAGTGGGAAGATTGGGGGATTGGTTTGATTGTCACTGAATTATACCTGTCTGTAAGGAAGTGGGAAGATTGGGGGATTGGTTTGATTGTCACTGAATTATACCTGTCTGTAAGGAAGTGGGAAGATTGGGGGATTGGTTTGATTGTCACTGAATTATACCTGTCTGTAAGGAAGTGGGAAGATTGGGGGATTGGTTTGATTGTCACTGAATTATACCTGTCTGTAAGGAAGTGGGAAGATTGGGGGATTGGTTTGATTGTCACTGAATTATACCTGTCTGTAAGGAAGTGGGAAGATTGGGGGATTGGTTTGATTGTCACTGAATTATACCTGTCTGTAAGGAAGTGGGAAGATTGGGGGATTGGTTTGATTGTCACTGAATTATACCTGTCTGTAAGGAAGTGGGAAGATTGGGGGATTGGTTTGATTGTCACTGAATTATACCTGTCTGTAAGGAAGTGGGAAGATTGGGGGATTGGTTTGATTGTCACTGAATTATACCTGTCTGTAAGGAAGTGGGAAGATTGGGGGATTGGTTTGATTGTCACTGAATTATACCTGTCTGTAAGGAAGTGGGAAGATTGGGGGATTGGTTTGATTGTCACTGAATTATACCTGTCTGTAAGGAAGTGGGAAGATTGGGGGATTGGTTTGATTGTCACTGAATTATACCTGTCTGTAAGGAAGTGGTAAGATTGGGGGATTGGTTTGATTGTCACTGAATTATACCTGTCTGTAAGGAAGTGGGAAGATTTGGGGATTGGTTTGATTGTCACTGAATTATTCTTGTCTGTAAGGAAGTGGGAAGATTGGGGGATTGGTTTGATTGTCACTGAATTATACCTGTCTATAAGGAAGTGGGAAGATTTGGGGATTGGTTTGATTGTCACTGAATTATTCTTGTCTGTAAGGAAGTGGGAAGATTGGGGGATTGGTTTGCTAAATTGATGTAAATGTTGATGTGTAGTTGCAGTTGCCCAAGTCTTTAAAAAACCTTAATCTTTAGTATTCCCTTTAGTAAAGAATCTTAAAAGATATTAATTTGACTGTTTAATAATTTTCTTGAATAGTTTCCCTAATACACAAGTGCTATCAATTATTGTATTGTGTAACTCTTAAATTTCACCTTGGTTAACAACCACAAGACTGAGTCAACATTAAAACGAGATATGTCACAGGTGGAACTCTTTTTGGAAAAACCCACATGTCACAGTAAGGTAGGATACATCTTGAACCCTTTTTTGTTTTGTAGAGGCCTTAAATGAGCTTGTGATATGTCGTGTGGACAGGTCATCGGGAAAGGCAAAGGGTGGCGATGAGGTGTTCCTTCTGTGTGAGAAAATTAACAGAGGTAAGTGGTCAAACACATACTAATGTTTTATCTATAAGAATGTGTTATACTATTCTCTGTTTAAGCCTTCCAACAAATATAATCTACACCAAGCAGCGTTAATGACATATTATTTCATATTTATTGTAACTAGTGATGGTTTTGTGAAGGCAGTGAATGACACATTGATTGTAACTAGTGATGGTTTGGTTAAGGAAGTGAATGACACATTAATTGTAACTAGTGATGGTTTGGTTAAGGAAATGAATGACGCATTAATTGTAACTAGTGATGGTTTGGTTAAGGAAATGATTGACACATTAATTGTAACTAGTGATGGTTTGGTTAAGGAAATGAATGACAGATTAATTGTAACTAGTGATGGTTTGGTTAAGAAAATGAATGACACATTAATTGTAACTAGTGATGTTTTGGTTAAGGAAATGAATGACACATTAATTGTAACGAGTGATGGTTTGGTTAAGGAAATGAATGACAGATTAATTGTAACTAGTGATGGTTTGGTTAAGAAAATGAATGACACATTAATTGTAACTAGTGATGTTTTGGTTAAGGAAATGAATGACACATTAATTGTAACGAGTGATGGTTTGGTTAAGGAAATGAATGACACATTAATTGTAACGAGTGATGGTTTGGTTAAGGAAATGAATGACGCATTAATTGTAACTAGTGATGGTTTGGTTAAGGAAATGAATGACGCATTAATTGTAACTAGTGATGGTTTGGTTAAGGAAGTGAAAGACACATTCCTTTGTGAGGGTTGGTTTGCTAACATCAGTTGTAAATTCATACACATTGTACCATGTATCTATAGATACATTTCACGATTATTTCACTACTTGAAGGACAGAGAGCACCGGTATGATGATAACAAGTAGCTGTTGTAATAAGCTTGACCACATAGTGAAGGTACAATGTATGTGGTCAGCTTAACCCTTTTACCCCTATGTAACTTTAGTAGACTCTTCAATGCATTGATCTGGATGAGTCCATTTTTGTCTACAGTGGTGAAAGGGTTAACAGGATATCTAGATTAACAATTGCTGTAGAAGCAGGTGAAAGGTCATATATACCTTAGGGCAGTGTTTATATTTCAAAGACGATACCGAAGGTCATATACTGTATAATGCTTAGATTTCACAGAGGTTAAAGTTCAAAAAGTCAGATACTGTGTAGTGTTTATATATTTCCTGGAGGTCAAAGGTCATACGGTAGATATTGTGAAGTGTTTACTGTTTTATATTTCATGAAGGTCAAAGGTCATTATGCAAGATACTATGCAAAATTTAAGTTTTGTGTCAGATTAAAACCGATTAGATTTGTTTTAGAAACAAAACCACTGATATGATCCTGTCAAGTTTAAACACTACTAGTACAGCTGGTCTATTGTGTACAGGAGAAGGAGTAGTTTGAGTAAATTTATGCCAGATTCTATTTGATCAAACAAAACTGTCCACTGGTACATAAGGTTGTTGAGAAGATGAAAAACCTTGAAAGAGATTGATATTTGAATACTTTTCCTATTGGAATTTCAGAGGATATTGGAGTTCGATTTTACAAAGAGAACGATGCTAACGAGTCTGTAGTGGAATGGGAGGAATATGGAGACTTTAGTCAGAATGACATTCATCGACAGGTTAGTAGATCTGTTTAGTTCTCAAGTATCCTTAGTGCTGAGGTTACTCTAGTTCTCAAGTATCCTTAGTGCTGAGGTTACTCTAGTTCTTTATCAGAATACATCTAATCGTTCATGGAGTTATACAATTATACAGTAGGTGTTTACAGACAGACCTGATGTCAAACATCATGTAACTGTCTATACAATTATACAGTAGGTGTTTACAGAGAGACCTGATGTCAAACATCATATAACTGTCTATACAATTATACAGTAGGTGTTTACAGACAGACCTGATGTCGAACATCATATGACTGCATTATGAATGGTCATTTATTGCAGTACGCCATCGTGTTCAAAACCCCACCGTACAAAGACACCTACATCACAAGACCAGTGGAGGTGAAAATGCAGTTAAAGCGTATGAACGACACAGAAACCAGTGATCCTATTCCATTCACCTATATGCCGGAAGATCCCGGTAAGTTTCTCAAAAACTGAGATTGAAAGTCTTGTATTGGCATTCTCAGGTTTAACAACTTCAGTGTAGACCCTTCGACAACAAAATGGTGGGAACTTAGCAACATCTGGATGGATATGACTTTATCAAAATAGCAGAAAGGGCCTCATTTTTTATTTCATGGAGATGTGTTTGATCCTATTAGGTGAAGAAAGTATTTCAGTCATCATTTGCTGTAGAAGTATGTACTTTTAGTGGAGAAAGTAGTTCAGTCATCATTTGCTGTAGAAGTATGTCCTTTTAGTGGAGAAAGTATTTCAGTCATCATTTGCTGTAGAAGTATGTACTTTAGTGAAGAAAGTATTTCAGTCATCATTTGCTGTAGAAGTATGTACTTGTTGCAAACAATTATTTACTGAACATACACTTAAGAAAAGACGGAAAAAATATCTATAATTTTATTTTTTCTGGTTAAGTGAATCTGCTTTTAATGTAAACTTGTTTTGATACTGTGCCATTGTATGTGTTAACGAAGTGATCTCCAGCCTTAAAGTGATATTCTACTCAACTCTATCATGTTTACGGGCGATGATGTAGGTGATCTTTGCTGTGACTGTTAAGGCTATATATGCTTTGTTCCGTCAACTGAAAGACCATCACTGATATACAGTAAAACCCCATTATACTTCCACTATTTGTGCAGTATTTGGCCAGGTACTGGCCTCAGGTCAGTATACTTCCACTATTTGTGCAGGATTTGGCCAGGTACTGGCCTCAGGTCGGTATACTTCCACTATTTGTGCAGTATTTGGCCAGGTACTGGCCTCAGGTCAGTATACTTCCACTATTTGTGCAGTATTTGGCCAGGTACTGACCGGTGGTCAGTGGTTTTTCTCGAGATACTTCAGTTTTCCTCCACCACCGAAAACCGAGCACGTCCTTAAATGACCGTAGCTGTTAGTAGAATGTTACACACAAAGAAATCAAACTAAATGTTGATTAGGTGAATCATAGAGAGATGGAGATTTATCAGAGGGGGAAACATGAAATGTGAAACAATGGACATTGCTTTGAGGTCATACAGTATTCAAGTCATTCTGAATGAGAGATTTATCTGTTAAGTCACAAGTATTATGTGTTACAGATAGTATACATTCTTCAGAGATACTGACAGAGGTGTGAAAATCTCATACGGCCTGCAGAAATAACAAATATCGTCAAATACAGCTGGTCTGATGGTGTTGTGTTATCTTTCAGATCCAGATCGACTGATTGAGAAGCGAAAGCGGAAGGCCGAAACATTGAGCAGCTATGGCATTTTTGGGGACGGTAAGTTTCACTTTGTCATCTTCAGTAGGAATCAGGTCATATGAGTTTAGTCAATAAATTTACCTCAGTATAAAAATGAGATCAGGGTAATATAGCTTTGTATGAAATGATTGGAATTGTTTGTTTTTCTTCATATACATGTACAGTACAGCTAGAGACATGTTTGAAATTCTATGAGTTTGAATTTCCCTGGGAAGACAACTGTAAAAATAGTAAAAGTTAATTGACTATGATAAACATGATTATTGTGGGGAATTTATATTAATTATAAAGCTAGTGAATGTAGATCTATTTTTCTTACGTAGAGGTATATATATATTTTTATAACGTTGTTGAGAACTTTTCTTTTTATAATATATATATAGGCAATGAAAGGAAATGTTCCTTATTTGGTGGTTCAAAAACAGCACTGGCATTGAAAATTATCTGTTTTAGTTTTGACACACAGCAGGATTGTTAAAAAAGTAAAATGTACTAAATCACATTTAATTTGGTATAACACAGGTTTGCAGTCCTTATCACCGGATGACATCAAACAGAGGCTGAAGGTGAAGGCCACCAAATCAAGAATCAAGCAAGAAAAACCGGAAAGTAACAGTAAGTTAAAACTGTTAGTGGTTTTTGTCATAGCACTATTTTACTATCATACATGTTCTGAGTAGATGAGTTGTGGTTATGTCAAAGTGGTTTTTGTCATAGCACTATTTTACTATCATACATGTTCTGAGTAGATGAGTTGTGATTAAGTCAACCTTGTGATGAAATGAACTCAACATCCCAGTTTTAAGAATAAACAGGCTGATGTGTTCTATGGTGAGGAGGGTATGGACAGGGATCTCATCCCGTGGAGGACACCCGCAGTATTGATTAGACACTGGTAGATAGGGGATACAACATAAATTAGTCCAACACAATACACTTAACTGTTAATTTAAATTTAAGGAAATCTCCTCAATAATCTTTGCGATAATTACCACCAAAAGAAGTGTTGCTTTTTACGGTCACTATATCAAAATATTAAAAATTTGGGCATGTTGCTTGTACATTGTATCACTCCTAAGTCTTTGCTTTTTCTTCCAGACTTTGACTTGCCAAATTACTCATTCAACAATCTTGGAGCATCTGTAATGCAGACCGAGGTGCCCATCACAGCGCCATCATCTATGAATGTGCGAACAGCAGACAATTCAGGCATGGGTAGCGTTACTGTAACACCGACAGAGTCTGTGAGACAACAGCTGGCAAGTCTTCCTGAAAACCAGCAATTTGAAATCCTCCGTCAGTTAGCCATGAACAAGCTGCAACAAGAAGCTTTACAGAAACAACAGCAACAGCAACCCGGCAACATCCCAGTTCCCTCATCCTCTGTGCCATTTGCTGACCTCTTCCAGGCACAGAATCAGCAACAGATTGTACAGCCAACCAACTCAGGTAGTAATGTGTTGCTTGCTGATGTTTCTATGCAACAGGGCCTGCAGGGGCTGATGTCGGGGGCAACACCACAAGACCAGACAGGTGGGCAGACAATGGACTTGAACATGTTGCAGACATATCTCGGTGACCAGGGTACAAATGTGTCATTTGAGAGTATTGAGGGACTATCTGGCAATCTGCTCAACATCAGCTATGATCCGAATGTAGCGGCCATGGAGAACGTGATGAGTGAGACGAGCCAGGCGATACAGGGTCTGAGTCAGTCTGGGTCGTAGTGGACATAGGACACACACAACTGTTGTTGTTGATGAAGACACACACAACTGTTGTTGTTGTTGTTAATGAGGACACACGTGACTGTTGTTGTTGATGAGGACACACGTGACTGTTGTTGTTGTTGATGAAGACACGCAACTGTTGTTGTTAATGAGGACACACGCGACTGTTGTTGTTGATGAAGACACACGCGACTGTTGTTGTTGTTGATGAAGACACGCAACTGTTGTTGTTAATGAGGACACACGCAACTGTTGTTGTTGATGAAGACACACGCGACTGTTGTTGTTGTTAATGAGGACACACGTGACTGTTGTTGTTGATGAGGACACACGTGACTGTTGTTGTTGTTGATGAAGACACGCAACTGTTGTTGTTAATGAGGACACACGCGACTGTTGTTGTTGATGAAGACACACGCGACTGTTGTTGTTGTTGATGAAGACACGCAACTGTTGTTGTTAATGAGGACACACGCAACTGTTGTTGTTGATGAAGACACACGCGACTGTTGTTGTTGTTAATGAGGACACACGTGACTGTTGTTGTTGATGAGGACACACGTGACTGTTGTTGTTGTTGATGAAGACACGCAACTGTTGTTGTTAATGAGGACACACGCGACTGTTGTTGTTGATGAGAGATTTGAATACTAGTGTTGTAGCTTTATGTAATATAAAGCAGTGTTTTAGTAACATCGTGTGGAATGTCCAAATGTTTGCATTAAAAACAGCAAAATAAAATGTAAGAAAGCAATACACTGTATGAACAAGTCTCCGACTGTGGTATACACATTCCACATACACGGGTTGGCCCTGTGCGACGCTGGTTCTGTGTTCACGAGTTCACAGGTAAACCCTAACAAAAGGGGGATTGGTGTGACGTTCCAGGATGACCTATACACAATGACCATGATGTGTAAGGGGGATATATTTATGGTTGGACATTGTAACACACTGTCATTATTATTAGTAGTGTGCTGTCCAATACTAATCCAATTTTTTTTAAATTGATTTACACTTAAGACGTTATAGGTGTCATGCAATGGACAACATCATCATGATTTTGCTAGCGAGTTTGACATGTAAAACCTGTTTGATTGCTCCTGACTACCCAGCTGTACCAAATGACAACACCCAATATTGAGACAGATTATTTGTTTTAATGGACCAACATATTAGTTATAATTGAGTCTTCCAAGCTCAGAGGTATGAGTTGTTGAACCAATAAATGTTCCCTCCTTAAACGGAGGCACATTCATAGTTATCCATGTAACTGCTATATTACCTTTAAATAATTGTTGTTTTGGTAATTTCCCAGTACAAAATAACATCAAGTGGCAGGACGTCATGAACGGGAAGTCGCTCAGTTTTGGTTTCTTTACTGTCCCGTAAGCAGAACACGGAATGAACATTCTGATTTTGCTCGGGTCCCACAATAGACATCACTTGACGACAACAGGTAGTGGGAAGCAGCAGATCTTTCCCCAAATCTGCACAGGGTAGAATCAGGTCAACGTTAACGGTGGCCGGGTGTAATGGTGGTCCAGCGTTTCTCGTAGTGCACATGTTTTAATCAAAGTCTGAAGCTTGTAGATACACAACAAGCTATCCATTATGAATCATGATCAGTCCTCACTCTCTACATATACCCCTTTATTAACAGTGCTTATAAAGTGCTGAAAACTTTCACGATTTTTATCAAAACTCGTCCAACAAAGACAATGTATGATAAGTAGGCTAGGTAATCCAGAACTCTGTAAATACCATCCAAAGGATGACGAGGGCATTCTGTAATCCAGAACTCTGTAAATACCATCCAAAGAATGACGAGGGCATTCTATGTGAATTTGATTCTGACGAGCAATGCTCTAGAAACATGTGGTTCCTGTGATAGAAAGGTTCTGTAACATTTCAGGATTGTAGTAATATTACATTGTAACACATATATCTATACACATGTATGTTTATTGTACTGTTGATCATGTTACGGGAATCTTGTGAAAATTCAATATTGATAATGAGGAATCTTTGTGTTCCTCCCATCACTACAAACAGAATCTGTCGTATAGGATATACAGCCATTATTTGCTGTATTAAATAGGATATACAGACGTTATTTGCTGTATTAAATAGGATATACAGCTATATTTGCTGTATTAAATTTGAAAAGTTGGTACAGTGTCATACAGATGTGATAAACAGTATCCGGTTCAATGCTATTTCTACGTGTTTTAATATGCTTTTCCTTCATATTTTAAAGAAAAAGTAATTTTCAAACTGATTGAAAATCTTTGACATTATGAACAGTTTAAGAATGAATTTTAATGTAAATTGCCTGATCAGGAATGGAGGTTTGAAACCAGTTGTATGAGATTTTGTTGTTGTATAGTGCTATCCTCGATCACAGAACATTTTAATTCTAGCTATATAACAAGCCTGTTGTTGATCTGTTATTTTATTACTTGTTAGAGTTGTTTTATTCTATATATATTCACACTGTTACCTTTATATATTTTCTTACTGCTTGTCTTCTGTCGTTTTCCCCAAAAAATGAAAGACACAATTTATGTCCAACATCTATGTAGTAAGCCTGCTGAAATTCACAACACGTATTGTATCAGTATGTCAAAACAGTTGAATACCAATACAATTCAAACGGTTCAATAATTTTAAAGTGTGAAATGCTCTCTGAAAAAAAAATGAAACAAAACACTTTGTAGGGTTTTTGCTAAGACAATTTTCCAAGTTTTTATTTATTTTCAAGTGAATATTACCTTGTAATATAAATACATTCAAAATGGATTTCTTAGGTGAAATAACAGTTGAAATGTTAATAGAAATCTTAAGGTTATATGACTAAACAAGGTAGTTCAGGTGAAATTGGACAGTCATATCTAGCATTAGATATGAATCTTGTTAATATTTATGTTTATTTTATGGTCAATATTCATCTGCTTCACGGTGAATATTTACGTCCTTTAATTGAATGTTTTCTGGCACAGGAGTATGGTGAATATTTTACTGTTTTGGTGAATCGCTTACAGTGAGAAAACCCTCACCTTTCACGGAATATAAAATGTGCATCGTCTGGTAGCTAAATATGGTGTTAACTTTGTTTTCATCAAAGAACTTGTTGAAATGTAAACCGGTTCTGTAGTAAATTATGTATATATTTATGGTTAATTGTCAGAGAAACATGTAAATCATGAAGAAATCTAATTAAGTAGACTATCGTAGCATGGGTCCTCATTTTAGACCAAACACTTATTGATTATTTCAGTATCTAGTACTGGGATGAACATGTCCTTTTTTAATGCGTATATGAAGATTTTCAGACAAGAAAAGCATTTGACCTTGATGTATATTAAAATATGTATAACTATTTATCCTTGTATGTTTTCATTAATTATCCCCAACCACTGTAACAGGGCCGGGGATATGGTAATGCCCTCAGTCAGCTGTCTGTCTGTCTGAAGCATATTTGACCAGATATTGTTACAGCTAGGATCATAAAACATGGTATGCTGGTACGTTTTTGGAAGGTGTACGTCCTTGCATAACCAGAATATCAGTAAAACTGGTGGATAATGTTCATCATAACCAGAATATCAGTAAAGCTGGTGGATTATGTTCATTTGGACTGGAATAAAGGTTATGTGTTACCTATCTTGATATCCTATTACTGCCTGGTGCCATTGTTATCTCTAACATTACTTAACTGTGTGAAGTGAACGAACTACAGCATGGTACACAACAAACTATGTTTCATTCCACATTTACCTTTGGAGATATACAAGTTACGACTGGGTTAAACAAGTCAGAAGTTATGACCAAGAAAATGGATTTGACCTCAATGTGGCCTTGACCTTTGGTGTTTAGACCCAAAAGTCGTATGCCCCACTGCCCTTCAATCCTACACATAAATCTTAAGTTATCTTCATCAAGCCATAAGTTATCAAACTAAAAATTTCATTGACCTTCGATCTAAATAATACATTGTATCTTGACCTTGTATGTACCGATCCAATTGTGGTATGGGACACACAGCCATTCATTCTACATATATCTTAAAGATTATATTTATATTTTTTAACAGAGTGATGTTATTGCCTGGACAATGAATTTGACCTTTGACTTCAATGTGACCTTGACATTTGGCAAACAAACTCAGTAGTTGTACACAGTACACTCCTGCATATATGGCTTCATGAAGTGATCGGAACAGCAAGTTGAGGTATTCAAGGAGCATAACAATATGTTACTGTGACCTACATTTTGAAAACTGCAAAATATGTGAGACACCACTTGTTGGAAGAGTCTCTCCTACATCATTTCAGCTGTGATCGTCGAAGTTGGTATGCTGGTACATCTTGGGAAGGCTGAGTGTCATGTATATGATATGTCAATCATTATATCTTGTTTCATGTCATCTACTAATTATAGGACATACATGATGCACTGGACACATCACAGGGCCTTTATAGGGACTGTCCTCTATAGGACTAACATAACCCTCAAT